GGCGGAGGGGAGGGAGGGAGAGAGGGGAGGGGGCGCCCCGGCCCCGGCCCCGGCCCCGGCCCCGGCCCCGGCCCCGGCCCCGGCGGACGGGCGGGCGGACGGGCGGGCAGCGATGGTCGCTCCGCGCCGGCGCCCCAGGTCGGACGGCGGCCGCTGACGGGGCGGCCCGGTCCCGCGGGGCCGCGGCGAGCCCGGCCCCCATCCCGCTCCCCGCCCTCTCGCACACCTTCCCCCGCCGCTCCCCTCGCCCACCGCCGCTGCCCCGCCCGGCGCCGCGAGTTGCTGCGAGCGGCGCAGCGGGGGGCGGCACAGGCGGAGCGCGCCGCCGCCCCGGGACCGAGCCCCGCGGACGGGGCGCCCGCCCCCGCCGCCGCCCGCCTCGGCCGCCGCCGCCGCGCAGCCGCCGGCACCGCCAGCACAAAGAGCCGTCGGGCGGGCAGCGCCGGGCTCCGGTCCGCCGGACAGAGGCGCTCGCCCCTCTCCGCGCCCAGTACCGCCCCGAAGCCCGGTGGTGGGTGCTGCGCATCGGCAGCCGCCCGGGAAGCGGCTGGACCAGTGGCTTAGCCCGGGGCGGCCGCTCCGCGGCCCCCCGACGGAGCCTCTGGAGGCTGCGAGCGGCGCGGGAACCGCATTCGGCCAGCGCTCTTGGATACCGCAACCCCTTTCGAGGCAGGACTCTTCGCTTTTTGAGGGGTTTTGTTCCATTTTATTTTTCACCCTTTTTTGGTTATTTTAATTTTTTTCTTTTTTTCTTTTTCTTTTTGGTTTTGGTTTTTGTTTGTTTGTTTGGTTTGGTTTAGGTTTTTTCGGTTGCTGTTTTCGGTTTTTTGTTTTGTTTTTATATGTTTGTTTGGGGTTTTTATTTGTTTGTTTGGTTCTGGTCGGTCTCCGTCTTTTTTCGCGGGCTCCCTCCCCCAGCCCGAAACCCGATCGCCGCCGGCGAATCGAGATCAGCTCGGCGAGGTCGCCCGCCCCCGGACCGCTCCGATGGAAATACACTGTAAGCACGACCCGTTCGCAGCGATGCACAGTAAGTGGCTGTCCTTCAACTTGTCTGAGCGGGCGCGACGGGCTCCGCGCGATCGTCTCCCTCCGCTGGCCATATCGGGTTGCCCGCCGACGTTCTCTTCCCCCCGCCAAGATCGGTGTGACGGAGGACGGCCGGCGGAGGGGTGGCGCGGGAGCGACCTGGTCCGAGGGCTGTTTTCCCATAGAGAAAGGGCCGATATCACTGCGTGTGTGTACAGATGGATATATAAACACTAGACGTATGTACAGCCATCAGTATATATGGACGGGCTCTTGTGCACATGGATGAATGTGCACATGGATGTTACACAGATGTTACATATATGTGCATATGTTTATCTTTCTCCCTAAATCAAATATCCGTGAAAAAAGCCGCCAGGTATTTCTGACAAACTGAAAAGTTTGCTGCACGATATTCTTTCTCTTTCTCAACATTTTGAAATTCGTTAATTGGAAATAAAGCAAAAAAAACCCCAAAATACCAAAAGACAAAAAACTAAACCCCCTTAAACAAACAAACAAACAAACAGAAGCCTCCCAAAACCCCAGACAAATTGAACTAAGGCAAAAGGCGATGAGCTGGGCTGAAGGGAAAATTTCTGTCTTTTTAAACCCCGAAGAATGGCGTCACGATCGTGGCGTGGGGCGGCGGAGCGGGCAGCCGGTGAAGTTAACAGGTCGTGCGCGATGGGTTCGCCCGAGATTTGTTGTGCTTGAGAGGTCGGGGAAGACTTATCCATTAGCACAGTGTTATGTGAAATGACATCTTCTCTCACGGTGAGTTAAACGCTGCATTACGGCGAGAGATTGAGAGGGAATTTAAGGTAGAACTAATCTCATTTCCCGGTGCACCGCTGCCTTTCGGCTCAAAGAAATTTGTTTGCAAAATAAACCACCGAGCTCCGGAACTGGAGATTCCCTCCTTCTCTCCCTTGTCCTTTCCGCTCTTCCCGTTCATCGGCCCATTTCCCATCCCTCTTCCCGCCGCTCGATTTCTGGAGTTGTCCAGAGCCGGGACGGCGGCCGGTGACGGGCTCTGCCGCCCTGTGAAAGCGGACTTCACCTCACGCGGCAATGCAGCGTTCGACCCCCGCGGTTTTTTCTCTCCCGGCATTGAACCAAATCACTTTTTTTCAAAGGCGAACTTTAAGGTCGGAAAGCCCACTGCGTGCGGTGCGGGGGCGGGGTGGGGGGGGGGGGGG